GAAAAGCACTTCAAACTTGTATTTGTATTGAAAATATACAGTATATTCTCATTATACCGACACTCATGTAGAATATTCTGGAGAATATTTTTAGTGTATCGCAAGAATCAAGTGATTTATTTAATAAGTATAAAGTGAATCGATAATTGCTGTGAATATTTGATATATTCTGTGATTTTTAGGGAATATTCTGTGCCATAAAATTATTTACATGATTTGTGTTGCATTGAATCAGTTGAATGAAAATGATTTTTGTTGTTATAAATTGAATTTTGCACTAATTTAATCCCGCATTTGATTGCATTACACAATCGTATTTTAGTGAATACACTTTGGCAATACAGTAATGTTATAACGATCAGGGATTTAGTGACAAAAATAAAGTACTTTTTGAGAGTTCCGTTTTGTAATAAATATTTTTTTTGTGTGAAAACCAAAGTTTAATTGAGTGTTTTATTTATAGAAATTTTATGTTTGCTTAAAACAACTGGAAATTTATTATTTGCTGCTATTTGTTGCTATTTTAAATGCTTTAGCCGATGCTTACGATTAGTTTTTTAGTCTTTTTTGTTAATGATTTTTGTCTATGATTTGCGAGATTATTGGTATAGTCTATGCAACAGAATGTGTTAATTGATTATTGCTATTTTATGACCAATATTATTACTATTAATAACTTTTTAAACGCGTTAAAAACGGCCGGATATGAAATAAATCTAATCATGAATTTATATTTTAGATTATATTTTGTACATAATGTCCGCTAAATTAAAAGTTTGTTTAAAACTTGTTTAAAATCGCGAGTAAACTGTAGAATCTCTCTCTCTCTCTCTCTCTCTCTCTCTCTCTCTCGCTAATGATTATTGCATTTGTATTTTGCATTTAATTGGTTATTTATCTCGAAATACCGTATTATTTATCGCAATACATTGCATAAAGACATTAACCGTGAGTATTATTGGCAGGAAATATAGCGGCAAATGCTATGAAAGTCTTCATTTCAATTCAATTTTTAGTCGTTTTCTGGTTTTTTTATTCTCACATAAGTTCCCCTGTTTTGAGAAAATATTTTCTGTAATTGACTTTTATTTCAAACATTATATAATATAAATATAATATAATATAAATTATTTGCATTTAATATAATCTTCGATAAAATTTGTATAAATTTTAAAAATATTTTCTAAATTTCCTGCTGAATACGACTAAATATTTATAACTCTTTATTATAATTATTATTATATAAATATATTCAAATATTTTTAATTAAAAGTGAATGAAAAAATATTTTTGCATTTAAATAAGACTTCACTTTCGGATAGAGAGTGTGTTTAGCCATAAAATTCTCTAAATATTTAAAGTATGTGTCAAATGAACGGCAAAAATAATAGTAATTATAGAAATTTATTATTAAAACATATGAGTTGTTGATGAAGGAAATTATGGTATTTATATGAATGCGGGAAGGGAATGGTATGCAATTTGCAAATCAAATAACGTGAATGTATGAGATTTGTCAGACACATGGGTTGTACAGTATGAATGATTTGCGCCAATCATTACTATATTAAAAGTTTTAATGAAATTTTTTCATTTATTTAAGACTTTTGTTGATAATTTATAGTCTTTTGTGTCTAAAGGTGTAGTTCCTGGTTGTGTTTAACATACTGGTGCTCATTGCTCATCACATGTTTGCAAATATTTTTATTAGTAATTCAAATAATAGTTATGTTGAATGGAAATTATTTCCTTAATTATTGTTATTTATTAGCAAAAATAGTTTAAATATGACAGTAGTATAGCGTTAAATACCGTGTGTTCAGCGCATATCTATTCATTATAAAAGTGAAACTAAACTTTAAATTCTTTGTTTTTCTTTGCTATTCAAATGTTTATTCATGTATTGTATGAAAAAATAAAAATATGAAAAGCGTTTCATATGAGATGAAAGTCCAGATTCTGGTTTGTTTAGTATATTTGCCAAACATATTACACACAGAATTGATGAGTAACTGTGCGCTCGGGTTATATCACATATACGACTGGATTATATGTATATTATATTCTGTTTATTCTATACGCTATAGACACTGGAAAATGAGGTCAAGAATAATGTTTTTGTATTGAATTTAAGTATAAAACATCTCTATTTATGGCGATATTTAATACTGTACTTTGATTATAGAATTTAATATATTATTTTTCACAAAATATATATTGCTATTAATGACTGTAATTATAAGTGTATAGTTGTTTATGAAAATTGAAATTAAATTTTAGACTACACTTTGCGATTATCCATTTGTTTATGATTTTGTGAATTCTTTAGGACCCTTTTGCAATAATAACAACATATCATATGGTTTTTGATATGAATTCCAGTGTAAAATACAGCCACAAACTGTTGCATTGGCGGTGGTCTAGACTATAGACATTTCCCACTCCCTATCCATTCATACCATTCCCATCCAGACATTGAAAGTGATGTAAACTGTATCGATCGGTCTCTCGTTGTGTCTAAACAGAGACAGAGATTTATTTTACGGCACATCCATTCAAATGGGAATATGAGATATAAATACCGAGATTATAGTGAGATAAACATATGAGACATATTTGGCGGACTTAATATGTTTGACAATTTTTATTAGTTTTATTTGAGTATATTTATGCGATATATTTATTTATTATATAATAGATTATTATTGAAATTGCTTTTTGGAGATGTAGTGAGAGTAGCGTGCAATACATGTGCCGTATATTTGTTTATGAATTTTTAATCCATTTATGATTAAAATACAGAATTTGTATTCATTAAAAGTGATTTGTTATTCATGAATGTAAGTTATGTTATGCACAGGTTGTTATTATTGTTATTGTGAATTAGTATATTGTGCAATCGTAATGAATGATACCTGTTTATTTCAGAGTTTAATACACTATTAATACATTTATATTGATTTTATAATAAAAATAAGACAAATGAAAAATGTGTATGTTGCAACGAGTTGCATATTGTTTTCAATAGTTTATAAGTTAATATACTTATTTTTATAAGTCAAATTAGATATTGTCATAAGTTATCATAACAGAATCATTAAATGCAATTGAAAATTATTTTTATATTCAATAATTTGATTGCCTGGATACAAATTAAATAAATAATTAACTTGATGAGATAAACGTTTGCGTTAATTTAGTTAAATGTAACTATTTTACTATAATTATGTTACTTTTATTTTTAGTAATAAGTTATTACTAATAACGCCTACTGTCAAGAATCTGTATTTTATAAATAGAAAATTGTTAGCCAATGTGGTTCGGTACCTAGGTCATTAAATGTGAAATTGGTGAAGTGTGTAATTATTTTATTTATGGCTGAATAAATCATTAAAATGAGATAATTGGATCAAATATTTGCGTTTAGCTTACGCTCATAGCCCACCTAACATTACAAATATGTTTCAAACAATATGTTTAGCAGTTTTGTTTAAAATTCATTTCTAATCAAATAGTTTTAATTGAAATTTTGAAATTATATTATGTTTCTAGAAAATTATTTTAAATTATTTGAATTGTACTCCCACTTTATCTAGCGGTTTGATAATAATTTTTATAAAATTACTTATTTTCTATTTCACTTAATGTTTAGCTATAGTTAAGTAAAACCTAACCTAACCTAACCTAGCACACTATGCCATCCCAAAGCACTTAACTTTTTTGCTAATATTGTATATATATATTTATATAAGTTTTATATATTTGTTGAATGCCCGGGATATTTCTAATATAAATTTTAATTTAGATATGTTTTGCATTATTAATAAGAATAAGCACTCATTTCTAACATAAACCTTAATGATGTGTTAAAATACTGTAGATATAGAAATACATTAATAATGGCAAAAAATATAAGTCAAACACATTTTGTTTTGTTTTTAAGCGCAATATTCTGTATGTTTTTAAATGCATTTTATATATAGCCTTATATTCTGTGCTTTCGTATGCGATGTAAATCTTTTTGAAGTAATAATACCAATAATAATAACTTTTTTGCCGTTAACTCATAAAAATATGTTTTACTGGATAAAAAACGGGCAAAACATGTGGATGTGAACGGAAAAGGGTGTGAGGACTGGTATGCTAGGGGTACGGGTGGGTTCACAAGAGTAATTAAATTTAATATACTATTTTATGGATACTGATTACCCCTTCCAACCCTATGCAGCGGTCCATATGTTTTGTCGTGTTTTAAATGCATTTTGAAAACTGCTTTTTTATTATGTAGGGAATGGGGTTGTATTTTAAGTGGTATTAATGATGTTTTTATAAATGAAACTCTTTTTCAGCAGTAATAAACTACTCGATAGTAACCGATGTATAAAATGCTGACTAAATAAACAAAACAAATGTTGCGATTATTTTTTGATAATTATATATTTTATATTTCGAGTGAAATTATATGCACCGGACATCTGGCAGTGAATTTGTATGCTCTCTCTCTCTCTCTCTCGCTCTCTCTCTCTCTCGCTAATTGTCGATTTAAGTCACATATCATTTAAAATCACGAGATTTTATACATACACAAGAGTTTGCGATAAAACTTAAAAAAAAGTTATTTACGAAAACTTTTTTCTCATTACTTACAATTCAGTGTTTTCTTATGTAAATTCATTTATCACTTTATTTATTGAGTTTAGTGTTAATCGCAAAGCGATAGCAAAATGATATGCGATATTAGAAAGTTGTTGTGAATTTAATGATAAACTTAAAAAGTTATTTCTCTGTACTGTATGACACGCTATTTAAATCATAATTGAGTACAAAATGTGTACTGAAATGCAATTATGTTACCAATAGTTTATTAGCGATCAAAGTCCTAGCGTTTATTAAACCGCGATTTGATTGTATTTATATATCTATGGGTTCACACTTTTTTATAACACTTTTTTCGTGGTTTAATGATAAAAATTTACGTTTATTTACGTAAAGAGTATAAAATGTTAATTAAAGCTATATTTCGTATCAGAGATGACCAGAGATTGAAGGTTAGAGGGGATGACACACACACCAAAAGTGGACAGTTGTATGGGGAAGGCACTAGAGCTGTTTGATTAATATATGCTGTTTGTGGTCATCTCTCTCTCGTGTAAATTATATATCGAAATAAAATATTAGTCAAAACATTTAGCTTACAATTGCACTATTTTTATGAACATATAATTAAATATAAAATTAATTTACATTAAAAATAGTGGAAAAATTGGGCCAAACGTGTCGCCATAACTTCACGATAACTCATAACTCCGTCGATGAGTTCAAATACCTGGCCAACTGCTCCTACATCGACGGCTACGTACGCATCTATAACCTGGAGCTGGACGACGCCGACACTCTAAACAGCGTGTCGTTCCCCAAACTCATCGAAATCAGCGACTATTTGCTGATCTATCGGGTGTTGAAGGCGACGACTCTGGAGAAGTGGTTTCCAAACTTGCGGTATATTAGGGGTCGGCGACTGTTCTTCGGCTACGCGCTGGTCATCAATGGCCTGCCGGAGGTCCAGCGCCTCGGCTTTGATAGCCTCGAGCACATTAAAGGCGCCGTTAGGATCGAAATGGTGGATAAGCTGTGTATTAGTCGATATGCGCGCGATTATAGGACTATCGCGAAGGCTATGTTCAGTGAGTGTTGTTATC